GGCTTCTCAGCTGTCCCCGCATGAGGGGGATCTCCCTTTCCGCTTCTCCACACCTCTTACCAGTCTCTACCTGGCTTTTCCTGTGCTCCTTGGTTCTACTATTTCAGCTCAGCTATAATTTGTTTTTCAAGTGGATTGCTCTGTAATTTAGCTGTAAATCTGGTCTGACGCTAGAAGCAAGTGACACAGTTTCTAGCTACTCTGCAGTTATCCTGGAATCCCAGCTGTTGTAATTTGTTTATTTGACAATCCGACGGAAAAGAGGTCAGTGCCCCTGACTCAATAGTCAGGTATTGCATGTTTTAAAAGTTCTTGCAGTGCACTGTTTGACAGTTGCTGCCCTATAGCAAGCATGTCAAACTCGTGGCCCACAGTTCCTATGCCTTGTTTACTTATTTAAATGAGGCACGTGGCCCGCAGGCCGTGAGTTTGATATGCTTGCCCTACAGTCTAGCACTGATAAGAAAGGTAATGGGTCTGCTGAGCTTCAGTTTCAGCAATGATGTGGGCAAGCACTTGATAAACCAATCAAGGCTGCAGCTCAGCTCTGACAAAAGTGCAGCTACTGAAGTCCAGGAGGGGCTGCAGGTAATGCTGAGGCTGTGCCCAGCAACCTAAGAAACTGTGTGATCTTCCTAGACCTCATCTTTCACACAGGGAGGTTCATGGTCATCTGCATGAAAGCCATTGTCATCGTCATTTAAGATCTGACTCTTCTCAGCCGTGGTGGTGTAACTGAGGAAGGCAAAGGTTATCATTATAACAGGAGTGTCTGGGTTGGATCATAAATAAAATTAGACCCTGTGGTAATGTGGAATTAGACGAAGGAAACACTATAGTCTGTGTTATAGGGGGGTCCCAGGGCATTGAGAGGGAGTACTTAATAGGCTAGGAGGTAGCAATTAATAGAAGCTAAGTTGCAAACAGAAAACATATCGGGCTTTTGAAATAAAAGTCACCATAAATAGGATTTTGTCTAGCTACCAGGATACGACTTGTCAGGGAGGCTCTGTGGGGAGTGGAGAGCAATGGTTCAGTTCACCCTGCAGGCTGATCCAGATCTCTGGGAGGCACACGAACATCTTAAAATCGGGAGGTTAATAATGAAAGTGTTTTATCATTTGGGGCACAAATGGCTCTCCTATGGGATTCTCCTTCAAAAAATTGCATTATGGGAAACAAAACCCTATTCTACCAGCTGAGGAAACTGGCATTATAGCCTCTACAATACACAAGGAGATGCCACAGCAGGAACTACACCCAGGAGCAATCACCACGACCAATGGAGTGGCCAAAGGAGAGCATTGCGGGCATAGGCAGCTGGTGTGTAGACTGAGGCAAAGGCTTGATGCAAGAAATGAAGCCACAGGGATCTAGAAGGGAGGAGAGATGACAGCAACAGCAGTAGGGCAGGCAACTGCCCCATGGCCACTGGAAGTCAGAGTTTCCTGGGGGATGCCCGCAATAGTGTATCAGGGGCTCAGGAGTCCAAACTGCTTCCTAGAGCAATACACAGAGGAAACACCAGCTAAGGAAGTGGAGAGATGAAGGCAAGGATGTAAGGACTCCATCCCATAAAAAGCAAGTGAGGAGCTCTCCAACATCTAGACCAGGAAGCTAAGGAGTGACCCCTGCAGGTGGCAGCTCCCCAGTCACTGTCCTCACAGAATGCTGCAGCCTCTGCAACCCCTCTAGCTCCTCCACCCCTGCCCAGAAATGCCAAGAAGCTCCCAGCTCTTTCCCACTATCTGGGTAGTAATGTTGAGGTGAAGGACAAAGAGAAGTTGGTACAGCAAGCCCTGCTCTTGAAATATGCAAATGCATATGCTTTTGCAATAGTTGTAGGTTATTGTGCAACTTGCTTCCTCATCTGCCCCTCACTCTGCTTCCCTGGCTTTGTTCTTCTCAGGAATTCAGATCGTGGAAATCTGTAAAACCCAGACATTGATGATGCTGCTGAACTCACAGGGATCAGTGAGGTGCAAATGAGGTCATGCACTGAGTGTGCTCTGTAAACTCTAAGGTGGCATGTGTGTAGTGGCAAGTTTCCAGAACCCAGATGGGGTGAGTGTGAGTGAGTCAACAAGGAAGAAAATTGTCCAAAGGAGTTCTTAAAAGACCAACACCTAGTGGCCCAGGTTGCAGGTCAGCATAAATAGCCCGTGCCTGTGGGCCAAGGAAGCACTCATTTGCCTGGAGACCCTGAGCCTTCGAGGAAGCAATGGTGAGTGTCTGTGTCTGCCTCTCTTTTTGTTTTCTCTGTGTCCAGCGAATGTCCCCCTGCCCATTTGGGGTGCTCTAATGTACTGGTGTTGAGGAAGACAGGGTCTATGTAGCTCTTCTGCTCTGGGAGGTGTGGGTGTGGGTGTGGGTATGAAAGGGCAGCATAGTGGGGGAAGAAGGACCATTCTTCTGCCCCTAACTCTGCTTCCTTTGCTAAGTGGGAGGTTTGCCTTCTGGGCTGGGGGAGGGTGGGTGAGTGGGATATGACACCCACCCGGACCCCAGATGCCATTGTCAGGAAGCCTCAGGTGGGAATGCAATTTCAACTTCTCGCTTGGCTCTCTCCATCCCTGATTTCTTCAAAGGAAAGTGGATGAGGAGAAACAGCCCAGGCATTCCCAGGCCCAGGGTCAAAGTTCATCCTGGTACCACCTGCCCATTGGACGTGGATAAACATCTTTGCTCTCAGCTTCAAATCCAAATCTTTGTTTTAAAGAGACCCACTAGACAAGTTTAGTGATTTCCAATTAATTTTTAGAGGAGTCATTTTTCAATAATACTTTAGTCTGACATGGAGGCATAAAGGTAACAGTATGTGAGTTTAAGGGGATGTGGTTCTGCCCAATACCGCTATAGGCCCAGCGAAGAGGCCTCATCCCAGTCCTAGGTCTCCAACCCTGTGAGGGGGCTCCTGCCCAGGCCCCTTTCTGCTACAATGAGTTGTGGTGCCCTCTGTGCCATCTTGAGCTGTTGGGCAAAAATGCCTGTTGCTTTTAATTCTTCCCCAGATGTGGGCACAGGGCCCTTGAATTGTGGCAGCTCCACACCAGGGGGCAATGCCCTGGCTCTGGCTGGAGCCTTTGGTGCCCAAGGCCGAGCCTCTGCCCCAGCATGTGCCACTCTGCTGGCCTGTGAGCTTGCCTGGTGTTTAGAGACTCCCATGATGCCCGAGGAAGTAGTAAACTCAGAATGAGAAAGAACTGGTGCCAACAGGGTCCTCCACAGCCCAGAACCACCAGCAGGTGGAGAAGAAAGCACTTCTGTGGCCAGGAAGGCCCTCCACTGCCTCCCCCTCAGGCTGCCTGGCGATCTCTTCTCCTTTGCTCTGTCCCTCAGGCTTTGTTCCCAGCCTCTGCACTCCCGTGGACGCTTTCCTTGCTCCTAACTTTATGGTTTCTCTCAAGAGGAAAGAAGCCCACCATTGGGAGTGACCAGGTCCTGCACCCACCCTGACCTCACTTAGCTGCAAAGTCCCTCTCACATGTCACTGGACACCCTATTGAACATCTGTTTTTTCTCCACCTAAAACCATCCTTTCCTGACCGAGCTCACCTCACATGCCCTCCTCCACGAGGCCCCTCTCCCAAGTCGTCCCAGGTGGAGGGGCAGCACTCTAGGCGTCCCAGGGTCTCTCCAGCTATTCTGAGAACGTTTTCTGGGTTCCATCTGGAACTTTCTTCATGGAGACAGCGTCTAGTCCAGGAATGGCAGGCCACCTGGGAAACATGTAGCCATGTATCCATCTTGAGTTAGGACTCATGTCACTGAGCATTCTGGCTCTTTCCAGACAAGCACTGAAACAGCCAGTGCTGGTCCATCCAAGGCTACAAGTGACAGTGATACAGAATTTTTGGACTGAAACCCGGATTCTTTGTCCACCAGAATTGAAGAATGAATCCACAGACAGAAAGTGGTATAGCAAAGGTGGAGGTTTATTGAAGAACAAGTACAGACTCCCACATGCGGAGAGGGAAAAAGTCCCACAGAATGGACTCCCAGGTAGGGAGGGAGAACAGGGTCCCCCTGAGTTCCTTTTCCCCATGGCTTATAAAGGCTGTAGATACTGGTGCCTTGATAGCCCCTATGATTGGTCACTATTCCCTTAGACTGGTTACTATAGTAACTCCTGGGCTCAAAGGTTGAACCTTCCATGGGACATGTGAGGTCCCCCCCCCACCCTCCTTCCTCATTGTTTTCCTATTCCCTTTTGGCTTTCTTCTTCTGCCTCTGAATGAAGGGCTACCTTCTCTTTATTTTGTAGATATAGACCTTTTGCTGTTCCCAGCTTCCTCATTGTATGGAAATATACCTTCTGCTGCTCTGCAGCCCTGTGCTTCCTCCAGGGTTCCCCTAATTTCCAAAATTTCTAATATTTCCTAAACCTATCCTATATTACCTCTAAAATTTCTGTTTCAGTCCCCCCTCTGTTTATGAAACCCCAACTGCTGTTGGGGACAATGGACGCCGATCTGTCTGGCTGCTTCCGCTGGCAAAGGGTCCTCATTAGGGTGCAGCAGTCAGGGTCCCATCGGTAGTGGATGGTCTAAGGGTCCACGGATGGTGGATGTAGCGGCCTTCATCTGCAGTTTCATGCAGAGGAACATTTGGAGCTTTAGGACTTTCAAATGGGAGGATATGAAACATAATGAGCAATGATTAAAGATTATAAAAGTATAAATCAAGGCCTGAGGAATTGGTTTTGATTGGTGGTAGTAGTAGCATAGTTTGTCCTATAGACCAAGATTTAACACATTTTGTTCTGAGTTGGGCTGCTTATAATATACTTAGTAGTTAGGAATTTGAGGAGTCTCTATGACTTAAGAAATTTACTGTACCAGGGTTACCGAGAGTGGCTATAATAGGAGTATCTTGTGGTGTTTCTGGGTCCCGGTAAGGACAGAGAAGGTCTCCTCCAGGTACCAGCCTAGGGTTTAGATGACACTTATAAAAAGACAGAATAAGAATTGTTAAAAAGATTAAAATACTGATTATTTAGAAATAGCAGAGTATGTTACTTATCTGGCATTCATTGTCTTCCCAGGATTCCTTTGAAAGAGAAGTTTCAGGTCCTTTAGAGGCTCACATGAGGAGAAATCTGGTGATTTAGCTGATGGCAATGCAGCTTCATCCTCCTCCTGTGCTGGCATTGAAGGCTCACTGGGGACAGACGGATCTAGGTGTCGATGCTGCAGACCTGCTGGGAGACTTAAAGACGGTGCCTGTAAAAGGGCTTTTTGAGTTGTTCAAAGGCCTGCCCAGATAAATGAGAGCTATTCCTGAAAGCTCTGGGGCAGTGTTGTCTATATTAGCTGACGGCTTTGATTATTGGGATCTTTTAAGGACAAAGAGGGAATGTGAGTTAGGAGACAGGAGTATATAGAAAAAGGCATCCTTGAGACTTAGTACTATAAACCACTGCGTGTCCTCTGGAGTCTGGGCAAGTAAAGCATAAGGGTTAGGGACACTTGGCTGGATAGGAATCACTGCATTATTAAGTCCTGAACTTAGTCCTCCCACTCTATTAGGCTCTTGTACCCCTAAGATGGGGTATTGTAAGGACTATGACAAGGTTTCAATAAACGTTGGGCTTCGAAAATAGATGGCCTATTAGAATATTGAGTCCTTCTGGAGCCTCAGGGTTGAGAGGATACTTTCTGATGTGTATGAGGCTTTTTTCAGGATCAGGAAGGCATGGGAAAGGAACAACTTACCCCAGCTGTGCCCTAAAGGCTGAGAAAAGATCTCTTTCTTGGCTTCCCAGACATGCCTGTAATGGCTATAGCCTCTGAGGATGGTTTACCAGAGTTTGGGAGGAGTACAGAGAAGGTGGCTCCAGCATCGGGGAGGAAATTAATTTCCTTGCCCCCCACTGTCAGGCTTACCCGGGGCTTCTGGGTGGAAATAATGACAGTCCTTGAGGAGCCAGGTTGGACGACCCCGGCCCCGTCAGTCTTACTGAGCCAGCTGGGTCACCAGCCCTGACACAAGGGACCTCTGTCCCCAGGGGCAGTCTAACTTCCAGTGGTTTCCTTGGCAGACAGGAAAGGGCTCCGGGGGTCCACTATGCCCCTTGGGACAATTCTGGCGCATATGTCCAACCTGGTTACAGCCGTAACAAATGATCAGACTGACCGTTCACCTCCGGGCTCTGACTGGGGGCTTCTGTTTTCCCGAAGCATGGCTACTATGATTTTCTCTATTTTTGTAGCCTTAGCCTTGTTAATGTAAAAAAACCATTGAAACCTGTAAAGAATTTTTGTGAGTTTATTTGAGCCAAACTGTCGACATATGCCGGGAAGCAGAACCTCAACGAACTGAGATAATGCTCCAGAGAATGGCTGGGGGGGGGGGGGGGGGGGGGTGTTACATTTGTATTTATACATTTGCAATCAAAGGAGGGACGTAGGTGGGTTACATGAAATTCATTGGTGATAGATTAAGGAGGAGGGATAAAGCAAAGCAGGGAAACCCCTGGGATTGGATAAAAAGTAAAATGATGGACACATACTTAGGTGGGTGCAGGATTAATTAACATGATAATGAAGGAATCTGTGGTATCTGTCCTGGTGCCCAGCACATTTGGTTGTGCCCCAGGGGCTCCAGAAAAAGAGAAGTTACAAGTTACCCAGACATTTCAAGGGTATGTTATCATAGATGCAAAAAGACAGATAGGCTCAGTTAAGGTAAAGGTTGACCTTGTCAGTGAAGATACTGGCCTAGGACGTAACTGTCCACCATCACTGCTTTAGTTAAAGTTTAATTTCAGACCATCCTTTGTGGTTACTTTAGGTCTCTGAGTTTGCAAGACTGCCATTCAGGCCTCCCCTGAGCCTGTCAGGTCAGCATGTGGCCCCTTTCGTCCAACAGCCTGATCTCTCTCATTTCTCCTCTTTTCCTCCTCCTGGTCTCTATTATAGATCACAGAGGTGGCAATCTTCAGGAGATTTTCTAACGTATTCTTGGGACTCATAGCCAATTTCTGCAATTTTCTCCAGATGTCTGGGTGATAAATTTGTTCTTTAAAATTAGTTGTCCCAATTCTGAATCTGGGGTAATGTTGGTATGCTTGGCCAATGCCTCCCTGAGCCTTTCTAGAAAAGCGGAGGTGTTTTCGTCAGCCCCTTGATTAATGGTGGTTAATTGAGAGTAGTTGACAGGCTTTATTTTACTACGTCTGAGGGCTTCTATAATACAAAACTGGCAGTGCTTTATTTTCCATCT